TAGTTCTTGACAAAAAAAAATAATCTGATGACTAGTTTAAAAAAAGCGATACATTTCTAACCACCATTATAATATGTCATCAATCGAAGTCATAGTGTTTTGTAGATCTTCGCTTATAGGAGAAAGTTACAATTTTAAGATTTGTAAGTAAAATGAAAACAAAATGATTGCTGGTTAGAAAACATAATATCAAAGAGAAAACATAGTGAGACGAAGACACAAACATTTCACAAATTCGATTATGATTATCCTCCTCGATGCATTTCGTTTTCGCAATACGAAGGTCGTACCGCAATGAAAGTGATCTTCTGAGATAACAACATAAGGATCAAAGGCAAAATCTAGCTCCGACGAATTTCCATGGCGACACCAAACGAGAGAGAGAAATCTTTTGCTCAAATTTTTTTGTTTTTTTTGCCGTTTTGGAAATGCAAGAGCAAAATAGATTCAAATAAACGTTTGTTACGGCGTGTAATTAGACAGGTAAAGAATTGTATTTTTTAACTTAAAACAACAAATAATAATTTGGCCCAAATAATAATTGTTATTTTATGGCCTTTACCTTAGCTCAAATAAAGGTTGAAATTAGAGTCGGTTTTTTTGTCTACAAGATTACTCTAGGGTTTGAGAAGTGGAAAGCACGTATCAGAGGATATCAAACAATTTCACGAATCACGATCCTTCAACTCAATGAAACGAAGAAAAAACTCAGTGGAGACGATCCCTATCGATCTCATAATCGAAATACTCTTGAGATTACCGGCGAAATCAATACCAAGATTACGTCGCGTGTCAAAGCTATGGGATTCCATAATTCTCCGACCAGATTTCGTGAATTTTTTCATGGAAAAGTCTTGTGCTCGTCCAAAACTCTTGTTCTCATGCGAGAAAAACGGTGGGTTAACCTTCTTCTCCTCTCCACAGACTCAAATTCCGTCACTTGTTGTTGGTGCCGCCGATTGTCTTACACGATTCCGGTTCGATGGTTCCTGTGAAATTGGTGGTATTGTTTCTGGTTTGGTCTATCATACACATCATCAGATCATGAAGGGAGTGAATAAAACAATGCGGGTGATAGGTAACCCTAGCACGGGACAATCTTTACTTTTACCCAAATTAAAGAAGAGGAGAAGTGGGGTGGATAGCTTTTTCGGGTATGATCCGATTGAGAAACAATTCAAAATATTGTGCATGACCTCGACAAGTTTTGGTAGAGTAGGGTTTTCGGAAGATCATCAAGTTTTGACATTAGGGACTCAGAAACTCTCGTGGAGAATGATTGGATGTTTTGTACCGCACCATCATCTATCTGATGGGATATGCATCAATGGTGGTTTGTATTATCATGCTAAGGTCGATAGGCCTTCTCCAATGGATTTTATGATTGTTTGCTTTGATGTCAGGTTTGAAAAGTTTATGTTTATTGAGAAAGCTGCGGACATGATCAACAGGCGTAGTCCAACTCTGGTAAACTACAAAGGTAAATTAGGTGTTCTTTCGTCAGGTTCGATTAACGTAGTTACTGGAAAAAGTAAGTCTCTTGTGTTGTGGGTTCTAACAAACGCCAAGAAACAGGAATGGTCAAAGCATGTTTACCTATTACCCCCTTTATGGAAGAATCTAGTTGCAAAGACTTCGTTAGTTTTTTCTGGACTTACTAATACAAATGAGATTGTGTTGTCGCCGCGTTATCCATCTGATCATTTTTATGTATTCTACTATAACATAGAGGGTAAAACTATAAGAAGAGTTGAAATCCAAGGAATGGATGAGTGGAAGGATTGTAGAGTTCATACCTCTCTAGATTATGTAGACGACTTCAGGCTCATGCAATTGTTTAGGACTTTATAACTTAGAGATCTGTAAGAGATCATTGGCTCTTTGCTTTGTCCCTAGAAAAAACTACGTTAAGATGAATACTTACTACATAATTAACTCCAACCGGGAAGAAGCTTAGGAGCCGCAATGAAAACGCCTCCTTCGTTGAAGCCAATCCGGAATTCAAGAACGCACTTGGTGATTTCAATTTCCCTTTCCCAAAGGTCATGGAAGACATTGTTCCTCCTGATTCTAAGGTTGGCTCTCCTAATGGTACTAATTTACTACTACCTCAGCGAAGAGCAGCTCCAAGCCAATATTTGGATCAATTATTTGTTTTCCTTTTCCTACGTTTTCTTCTTGCTCCCTAAAACAAGCTCTTGGAGTGCTGTGTAGATTTTTATTTTCTCTTTAAACTTTTGTTGTGAAACTTCACCAAGCAAGCCGTTTTTGTGACTGCTCTAATCGGGAACTTGATTTCAGAGTAAATGTTAATATTAATAGTTTTTATTTCGACTCTTACACAAAAAAAATTATTCATTAGGAAATTCACTACAGATTCTTTTAGGGGTCTCTGATGATGGTATAAAACATTTTTTAAGACTAATTTTAATTAAAATTATTTCTCCTTTTTTCTCAACACATTTTATTAATGCTAAATTCGTAATCATACGTAAGGGATTCAAAGAGAAAACAGAATAGTAAAAGCATAGTAAGTGGAAGACCCAAAGACTTTATGAATTTGATTTGATCGTGTAGAAAAAATCCACTTCTCGGCCAGATTTTTACTAAGTAAAATGTATATTCTCGAGCTTGTACAATAACAGCTGAGCTGAAATCAAGGTATAGATGATTTTGATTTGTGACATAAAAATACTGTTATTGCAACTAGTAAAGGATTTTGAAGTGACACAAACTAAGACAATAAGTATGTTTTAGAACGTTTAAATGTACAATCATTCTTACATTGTATTCGCCATT